AGTGTTACATTCGCCGTAACGTTAAGAAAGTCTCTGTTTACCCCAACTGGGATTACAGTCGTGATATTTTTTATATGTATTATTTGTAAATGATCCTGTTATCATTGCGGTTAAATAGAGTTCAATATGGTGTTACTTATTTCTTTATGCTAAGTACATTATATAGAGAGAGATACAAGTGCCACTCGCTTTAATACTTGCTTCAAGGTACTGAATATTCTTCAACACCCATGCAGCTATGTGAACAAAAATCTGGTTCTAATAGCAAACTATTTTTTACATCTAATAACTCTTGTACTTATACCGTGAATTGTAATAATATTAATTCATAATGATATTTACCTAAGATCCAACTAATATTATAAAAGTTTCATTAATAAACAACAGCAAAGTTAATTGTAGAATTTGTTATTTTGTATTACTGGAAGAAATCGCTCTTCAGCGATAAGGCCGCCCATTGTTCCCTTTTTAGTTTGTATATATTATATGTTTATACATATTTATATGTTAATAGTGTATATAAACACTTGTTTGTATTCTTTGAGGAGAACAATAAAGAATTTTCATTTCATTTTCTATACCTAGAATTGGAAATATATTGTTTTGATGATACTTCCTTAGGATCCGTCTATTATTGTAAAAGTTCCATCAATAAACAACAACAAAATTATTTATAGAATTTGTTATTTTTTTACTAATTATAAATTAATAAGTGATCATATAAGTAAATAAATAACAATGATGTAACAAGATGTAGACCTGTTGTTTTGTTATTGTTTATTAAAAATGTAAATCAATTAATGAATTTAATTAAATAAACAACTACAACTAATATAACTAATAATAGCATTTGTTATTTTGTTATTGTTTATTACTAAAAACTTAAATTTTTAACAACAAGTGAATATATGCCTCTTTTTGAATTATGCGTTTACTAATCGAAAACCATAAACTCATTTTTGAAATTCATTCGAAAATATCTGCCCACATTATAATTTCGTTCACAGTAACGTTATGTCGACATCCTATGCGGGTATTTGAAGTTAGAAGAAATAATTTTAATTAGCTATTTCCGCTGACTTTACTTTTGCGAATATTTAATCTTAAATTCTATGGAAATTTCTGGAAAACCTTTTGTATAAGAACCCGTTAATTTACCACTGGATTGTTGAGAAGTTCCCATAAGAGAAGGCATTTATTGTAGTTTTTTTTATTTATAAATAGAATGACTCAATGGAAGGGTTTATATGTATAATACATGCGTGTTATAGAATAGAACAAGTCGAAAAATTCAATGATTTGTAATGTACCCAATAATAAATTTGATATAAAACAATTTTGTGCAAATAGCGCCATCTATTGTCTAACGATAACACTACATATTTTAATTCTGTATTTGTTGAATAATGTCATGCCAAACATAGATGGCACCATATGTCCGAAATTTGTTTTCGAGCGAAATTGTAGTTTTATACAATCCCATACATAATAAACAATAATAAAGAAGTCTATACTTGTAATTGATAGTAATTCATATAATTATTAGTATTATTTTTGTTCATAGCCTATTCAACGTTTAATAGAGAGTTAATTAATCGCGTTAAATACAAATTACTATTCGTGTAGATCTATCTACCCAAATGTATTTGCCAGCAATTGGAAGGGATGGTCACTTCCCTTCTAAATATTCCAGTTTTAAAGGTGATATGTAGTGAGAGTAATTACTGGATCTAAGAAAATAACACAATAAAGAGTTTTATTTCACAATAACAAAAAGTTTAGGGGAAACAGTCACCTTGTTTAATTCCGCGATGATATCCGTCATGCAGTTCACGTCAATTTTCCAACTGATGACCTTTCAAGCTGTTTAATATTCTATATATTATAATCAGTATTTTTTTCCAGTATATTTAAATACGTACAAACAAGTATAAATATTAAAAACGCCTGCGCAACTCCTATGAGCAAATACGTCGGCAATGCCAATAATTTTGCAGGTATTGATGTAACAGTATATATTTTGGCAAATACTTTGTTTTGGTGGTTAATTATAGAAAACGGAAGTGTAACATCTTAATTCTTAGGAATAACTATGTACGTTACATCCTCCATACTACTTACCATTAGGTGATATCCGCGTGACTAAAGCAGACCTGTCGTCTCCAATATACCTTCTTAAACAGATGCTTCTTAATAATTAATCTTGAATATCACTTAGTATATGCATGATCTCTATATTTAATTTTGGAACATTATGGCGTTGTGCGGTTTAAGATACCTCCTTACTTCCGATGGTCGCGGGTTTATTTTCGCACGGTACAAACATTTGTATTTATGAGTATGATTGTATGTATTAGTCAGTGTTATCTATATATGTTATATATATATATATATATATTTAAAAATATAATTTATTTGAGTAGTTATATCAGTTGCCTAGTACCTACCCATAACACAAACTCTACTTAGCATGGCACTAGATTTCAACTTACAGTTACAATCTAAACTGCACGTCTAGAAATTTTGGAAGAGTTGATAGCGTACATTAATTTCCTAGTATTAAAACAACTGTGTACTGGATTTATATAGCAACCAAAGGCTTGCTCCCTTGGAGTATGAGAGACATAGACTAGGGAGGGCGTAATAAAAAACAAAATATTACCCATTACAAAATTTATCCACTTAGAGGAGAAATTTATCAAAATTCTTTCTTAGGAGATGCCTACGTCATAGTAGTTTTATGCATTCAAAATCTCAGCCCGGTCGGTTTAAAATTGACAAAGTTTCATACAAACTTTCATCCCCTATTTTATCCCCTTGGGGATAGAATTAATCAAAATCCTTTCTTAGCGCTATCCTTCTATCCGCTAAGAATCTTATAAGCTATCTTAGCCTTTCTATCCGCTAAGAAAGGATTTTCATTAATTCTACCCTACTACTATTGATATATTCTAATGTTCAATCAAAATCCTTTCTTAGCGGATGCCTACGTCATAACATCTACCTGTATACCAAATTTCAGCCCGATTCATCCAGTGGTTTGGGCTGTGCGTTGATAGATCACTATGTCAGTCACCTTTGAGTTATATGTATTTAGATATCACACTAATTAATTCTTTCAGTTATAGAGTGGTTAAAATGCTCAACAAAAAAAAGGTTGGGGATCCCTGCTTTACAGAACAGACTGAAAATGTTAGGATTCCACTTAAACCTTTTCTATATTTTATATTTTTTATACCCAGGTTATCTATAAGAGATTACTTCGAGTGATAAGGCTGCCTTTTGTTAGCATATTTATATAAGGTTATTTTTCTGTAAATATTTTTTCTGTGCACAATAAAGAGGATAGTCAGGGGTTAATTATTTATTTATTTATAACAGAAAAGAGATATAGATGTACAAAAAGCGGTTTTATCGCAAGCAAGCAATCTCTTCCAGTTATATTATAATAAATCTCTACAATTTAAAAATGCTAATCAGCTTTCGTGTCTCACAGTCCACCGTCAGGTTAGTCAACATCTAACCGATGCTTAATTGTAACTTATTGTTCCTTAGACAGTGTGTAGACAGCCCAATACATTTTTATAGCCACTTTCGAATAAAATGGCTGATCAATTCTTGAAACAGTCATGTCTCGCATTTAACAAAGTAACACCGCAGTATGACAATAATAACACAGTTTACAGCTAAGACAAATGTATTACTTCAGACTTCTTCGTATTAAGTCTTCCTCTAGCTATATTAAAATCGAAAACCTTAAGACTAATATTATTTTAATTCTCCTTAGTTATCTAACTCATTAATCATTCACTCGTTAACTTAGCTAGTCTAGAATTAGGAGAACATTTTAAGCTTGGCTATTTTCAAATCACACGTTGATATACATCATTTACTACTAAAGTACTAACTCATAGATCGCTATTGTAGATCTATATAGGGGCATTTAAACCGGAACAAAGTTTACAAAGTAAGATAAGACAAATGTACTCCTGCAGAGGTCTTTGTTTCATACAAAGTGTCTTTCTCTAGCATTAGGTTATTTTCGTATCCTGTTCTGTTCGATTTAGCATCCTACTTCTACAGGCCTATACAATCTTAATTCTCTTTCTTGGGAATCTTACGCATTAATCACCAGTTACGAGTTCAGAATTTGGAGAACATTTTGATTTTGATAAAAGTTTACGCTTGGCTGTTTTCAAATCTTGCGTTAATATAGGTACCTACATTTATCTCATAGTCGACTATATAACTATATATAGTTGTAGAATAAAATACAGAGACAGGGGTATCTTAATATTGCTTAAATATTCCACTTATGCTTATGTAAACGGAATATTTACCATTTTATGATTATTGTATCTGTTGTCCCATACACATGGCACATGGTTGTCTTGAAAATTGCTTTCAGTAATAAAGCCTTCTTGTACTTATTCTAAAAACTTTTTTTTTCTAACTAATTATACCTAACTTCTATGATTGTGTAATACATATTCTATCTATGTGTCTATTTAAGAGTTCCCGATAAAATCGATACATCAACTCTTAAATAATACTATTATGGATTTTTTTTATTTTATATGTACAATATTGTACTCATTCTTAATAATATCATAAATGTAGAAGTTTGTAAGTGTGGATGTATATGGATGTTTGTTACACTTTCACGCAAAAACACTGAATGTATTTTAATGAAACTTTTCAATAATATAGTTTATACATCAGAATAATACATATGCTATTTTCATGCAGATGAAATCGCCGGCATAGTTAGTAAAAAAATATATGTAGGTAGATATTTATTATCTCTCTTTGCTGAAACATTATCGCGTTTGAATTTGAGCTAAACACTTTTAGGACCTAATGATTGCTACCGCTTGATACAGATTTGTTTGTTGGACCTAGAGGCTGCCTTCTTTTCCATTTTATTTCCTATTTCGGTGCTTCTCCCACCATGCGCTAAGAAAATGGCCGACCGTACTCAAGTCAGTGTTGCGCGCGATTCTGTACGCGTGCGCACGCCGCCGTGCGTTTGACGTTCCATTTTCAAAAACTCGAAACGATACGGTGTACACGTTCGTCTGTGGTCGATTTATGAAAATTTTAATTCAAACTTCAAATGTGGAAGCAGTTACAGTTTGTGTGCCAGTTACATTAAGAATTGTAAAATAAGGTAATTGCGAGGAATAGACAAGTGCATGGCTATTGTTTGCTTTGTTGACGTGCACCAGCTGTCAAAATATAATACAGATTATCAAGGTAAGCCGCCTTATTGATTTCCTCACCAATTTACTATTTTGTTTCTTCTTTTTATATAAAAATGAGGTATTTGTTATGAAGAGCGTGTCGTCAACTTATATTTTTGGACATTAACGCATTATGTTTTTTGTTGGTTTTGCAACTTATCCTCGATCTAAGTAAGGACAGGTTTTTAAGGACTGATTTACTCTTATTTGGTTACTCAACCAGTTGGTTGTGTCTTTATCATTTAGGTAACGAATGAGTGCTAGTTGGTAGTTTATATTCATATATATCAATATAAAAATGTAAAGTTATAAGAACAACAAGCAAGTTGCTTGCTCGTTCTTGTGATGAGACAGTTTTTCAAATGAGCGGATTCAAAAAAATAAGTAATGACTATTCAAAAGTGCTTTAATGTCAGTTTATTTGAATAAAGAATCTTCTATTCTATTCTATTTTTATTTGATTGTGTATATATCATTTGGTACGGACAGATGTGCGACGAGAATGTTACATGTAGCGAAACGATCGTTAGAAATTTTATGTGACGCTGTAAATTGTTTCAAAATGGTAGTTTAATTGTGTAGGTGTTGTGTTGGTCCGTTTATTGCTTCAATACAGCTGCACGAACACTCATGTTTGATGTTGAATATTAAAACAGGGTGTAATTAATTTATTTGGGTCACGGATCTGTAAAACTCTTAAACGTCTTAATACTTGCAAATCAATGCATACGTGTTCCTTTACGTAATACCGGATTAACTACTCAGTTATTGTGATTTATTTAAAAAATAAACGTAATGGTAGCTTTCGAGAACGACATTCATATTCATGAAAACTTAACTTCCATTTCCGCGGTGCAGTAGCAGAGCAACAGAAAAATCATTCATCTACAAAGATCCAAGTACAATTCCCGTCTAGGCAAAATAGAAAACAAGCTCTAACGAAGATACTGTCTATGTATATATATGTCATAGTGGATATGCAATAGCAGTTTGCTTCTCTCCTAAAAAAGAACAGAAGAAAATCGGAGATTTCACAACCATCTGTCTGTGTTTTTTTTTCTTGGAAACAAATTTAACATTACCTATAGATATTGCTAGCATTTGGCGATTCTTAAACAGTGTTGTGGTGTACTATCGGAAATAGATATTAATTACCGATTACCGATTCTATGTTACTCAGAAATAATGTAAGTATGGTTTATTTATTTAGTTCGTAAATTTTAAAAATACGTTATGGAAACTATGTAGAAAATTTTAAAACTAAATCGTCTAAAATTTAAAAAAAAGTACGATCTAACAAATCGGTATCGCAAGCACAGCACTAGCTCAGTACAGCTGGAAACATTATTTGATAATTTGACATTTACACCTGTTAGTTTAGTCATCGAGAGTAAAAAAACAGGTTATAGTTAAAACTGGTTCTTCTAAAAATCTGAAACTATTAACTTAGCTTTTAAAAGATTTAGGTTTTTGCAACAACAAGTATCCTGCAGCATTCAATTTAAATAAGTTTTATTTAATTTTAAAATATATATATATCTATATATATTTCTGTAGCACTGAAGTCTCTATCACAACATTATCATCCACTAATAAAATAACATAAAAGACTCCCAATTCAATACACCATATCTATAACATGTACTAATAACCCCATTGTTAGCAATGTACCGTGTCAAGTTGACCTCCACGTGGTTTCCCCTGGAAACCATTGTGATAAATTCGTGGTGAATTTACCACGATGAGCTAACTGACCTGAGCTCATGCTCATTTTATCATCGTCCACTGGTGCCCCGCCAGCGTAAACCGTTAGGCAGGTACACTATTCGATTATCATCCATAAGACCCCGTAACAGGTGCGACCACCAGATGGCATCCGAGCCGTTCGGAGCCATGCGCCGACCCGGAACGGTGACTATTCCAACGGCTACCATTGTTTCTATCCACCTTTTGTTCTTACCGTTCCTCAATACCTCAAACTCATTAATAGAATTATCAAAGCCTACAATGATAAGTTAAGTAATCTTATCTTAATCTTAATCTTAATAATATTTTAAACGTGAAAGTTTGTGAGTATGGATGTTTGTTACTCTTTCACGCAAAAAATACTGAACGAATTTTTATAAACTTTACAGTAATATAGCTTATATATCATAATAACATATAGGCTATAAATTTCATGCAGGAGAAACCGCGGACACAACTAGTATAGATATATTTGCCACTAGACCATCATTATTCAAAAACATGGCTGCTAAGAACTTGTCAAATACCCACATAATGTATGAACTATTAATCAACTCTATTTTTTAGTAAATCTATATTTATTATACGCTTTCTTTATATCTAAAGTTAGTTACTTGTCAATATAACAATTGTAGTAACTTTATATACATTTGTATAATATATAATAAATTATTTTTCAGCACTACTTCTCAAAACAAATGTATATAAATTATCATTAGTAAACTGTGGTTAACGTCGTTAGTAATAAATTTAAAAATATTTAACCTTGTCACCTATTGTATAAATATAATAATATTGTATTACGGTTTGTTAATCCTAATAAATGAAAAAAAAATACGTCAATTGATCAACCAACGTGTATATTTCTTACACTCAGAAACTGTAAAAAACAGAACTCTTACTACATTTCATTTACAGGTTTTGGACTTTTACAAATACTAGTTGTCGCCCAGTTTCGACCACAATTAATTTAAATTATAAGGTCATTCATTACGTTCAGTATGACTATAGACAAATTCATTTAAATTATAAGGTTATTTGTTACATTCAGTAAGACTATAGACAGATAATATTAAACACAAACAATATTCAATCGATTCTCAATTTGACCACAGACTTCAACAATAAACAAAAGGGTATACATGCGTGTGTGTCAAATAGATGGTAGTGTAATGTCTTTTTTTTAATTTAATGTATAATATCGTAAAGTTTTCTACCTACTAGTAACAAATATATGTAGCAAGTACTTAGGAATGTTATGATAATATTTTTTAACTGACACAAAAACACATTTTTATATGTAGGTACGTACAGATAGATGACTTTTAAGTATTATATTGTAACGTAATTCACTAATTGTATTCACCATATTCTGTTCTTTATCTTTGGCTCTGATCTGTTTAAATATTTAATCTGTATTGTTTTTAAATAAACAATTTCATTATAACTTTAATATTAAAGATAAATTCATGAGGTATCTATTATTAGCTTTACTAACTATATATTGTATAAGCTGTTGATTACCTAAAATAAATAAAAAAAAATACATTAAATTATTAATAAAAAAAGATTAACATTATACCCTACTTCTCTATAGATATAAATCATAAGTATGTGAAATTTCATACACGTCCGTCCGCGTAGTTTTCGCGTAGTTTACTTCTGGTATTAATATATAGATTAATTTTCGGAGACATCGAAAATAATAATAATAATAACCTGGACCATTCACACGGCCCCATCTAGTCCTAAGCTAAGCAGAGCTTATGTTATTGGTACTAGACAACTGATATAAATACTGAAATACGTTTTTTTTAATACATAGAAAATACCCAAATCGATACAAGCAATCACTCATTATACAAATGTGTCTACTGTACGAGGAATCGAACCCGCGACCGTCGGAAGTAAGGTTAAACCGCTAGACCACCGAGGTCGTCTGGTCTACATTCCAAGACGACATAATAATGCAAAACTGATGTTATAATCAGAGGCGTATGGCCATATGAGCTCATCCGTTTTGTAATACTTTCGCTCGTTACGTCAAGTTACCGGTTTTGAAGTTTATCTGTCGATGTTTGCGAAATAATGCCTACTTTGCTGTTTTTAACGTCTCATTACTTGATAATGTCATGTTGTAAAATTATCATCTGCTATTCTATATAGTCTGTGGTTTTATTTGAGATAAAAAAAATTCGTTCCATATTTAAACTTACTTTTTTTAGCGATGATAAGGTAAAGCACCCGCCTGCGCTAACGATATATACTGTCAGGGCACCAGTGGAGGATGATATTAATGAAATCAGATCAGTTTGCCTATCATGGCTAATTTACCAAAAATGATCGATAATTTCCAGGGGAGACGTCGTAAAGGTCGACCATATATGTATATTGCTTGCAATAAGGATATCTTTAACAACCCTACACTCTCTATTTAAAAATAACTTAGTGATAATGGAAAACCAGCCCAATAATCGCACTACAACATAAATACAATATCACACTGCTCTCTACCTCTATAAAAAAGAAATACAATCGTAAAATGCACAGAAACATCTTGAATATTTGTATTATAAGGGAATCAAACACGTGACGTTTAGTATTCGGTACTATATCTTCTTTTATTGATGACAATGGAATGGTGCACCTGTCTGCGCTAACGATTTACTCTGGCGGGGCACCAGTGGAGGATTATAAGATAAATATGAGGGCAGATCAGTTAACCCATCATGACAAATTCACCAGGAACGATTACCACGGAGGTTTCCAGCACATTAGTACATTGCTAGCAATCATTAATCCACAAGACTAACAATCCTATTCCCTCCGGTGAGACAGTACATTTAACCGCTATACCACTAACTAAGACAATATTGATAACGTTTTCTCGCAATCCCTAACAGGTTTAGGTGTGGTTATTATAATAATAATGCAATCGCAGTGATTCATAGCGGATAATTATTACAAAGTTCAAGATATGTTTCGAATGCCGCTCGAAGGCCGCTCAGAATGCAATCCTTTGCAAGTGCTCATATCTACGTAATATATCATAAAAAAATTGAAACTGTCTTTATTCATGTACAGACTCTTATGATATATCAAATCTACTATCATAATTATTACAAGGTTCAAAATATGTTTCGAATACCGCTCGAAGACCGTTCAGAATGCTATCCTTTGCAAGTGTCTACGTAATATATCATAAAAAAATTGAAAATGTATTTATTCATCTAGGTCTACTACAGACTCTTATGATATGTCAAATCT